ATGTTGAATTTTCCACCTTCTAACGAGCTATATAACTCTAAAGCCCTGTTTTTTTTGTCTTCTTCATTCAGCCCACTTTCACGTCGGTGTAGGATATGTTCATAACAACCAACAAACTTTGAAACGGCGTGATTTATTCGAATCCAACGATTTTGAAGTGCTTGACGATTCCTACTAGTTTGAGAAATCGTGTCACGATTCACATCATAATATTCAAGTACGCGCTGCCAAAAATTTAGCATACTTTGACCAGTACCAACTGTTGCATCTTTGCCTATGTTGAGCCAAGCACTACACAACAATATGTCATCTTTGGTTGTCCATCGGTTTTTTTCATTTTTACAACCGCTTGCTTGCTCCGGCACGAGATTTGGTTGTGAAGAAAATTCTGGAAATTGAGAAGGAGGAGTAGTAGGATTTGGGTAAAATGGCATTTGAAAATTTAGTGGATAGTTAGGATTTTGGTACATCGGCATTTGAAAATTGTTAGGGTTCATCATAGGAAAGTTAGGATTAGGATACATTGGAGTAGGAGGATTTATGTTTTGTGCATCATCATTTGGATTATGGGATGAAGATTGGGAAAAATTAAAAAATGGGTTGAACTGGGGCTTTGATGGATCTATTAGAAGTAGAAAATGCAGAGATATTGAAGATTATGAGAGTGAATATGATGGTGTATTTTGAAACACCGAGCCCACACTATATATAAGGGTAATGGTAACCGAAGTCACGGGGTGAACAGTAGCCGAAGTCACGAATGAACAGTAGCGGAAGTCACGGGTGAATAGTAGCCGAAGTCACGGGTGAACAGTATCGGAAGTCACGGGGTGAACAGTAGCCGAAGTCACGGGTGAACAGTAGCGGAAGTCACGGGGTGAACAGTAGCCGAAGTCACGGGTGAACAGTAGCGGAAGTCACGGGAGAACAGTTGTGATAACCAGATCCTGGTTATTACCCAAGGTATTTAATACGTGATTATTTGATTTAATAATTACGTGATAGCATAATATTTGATCATGCCGGTATATGAAAGTTATGTGCATAACGTAAATTTTGTATGAAATTAGGAGTGTATGTAAAAATATATACACATATATATATATATATGTGTTTACTTGATGATGTATATGTATATAATATATATATATATATGTGTGTGTGTGTGGTGTAAGTGTGCATACGTGGAGGTATGCATGTAGTGCATTTGTGTGCATGGGTAAGGAAGGGGGGGAAGGCGGTAGCCGACCTTCCCCATTTAGAATGTATAAAAGGGGGGGGGGGGTTTACCCCTTCATTTGCCTTCTTCTTGTTATTTTTGAGAGAATTGAGAGGTTATATAAGAAGTGTTGTCCGGTTTACTTCAAGAAGCCGATTTCAAGCTATTTTCAAGGATTGGATTTCAAAAGGTTGATTTCAAGCATTTTGTGTTCAAAAGTTTTATAAGGTGAGTGGTTTCTAAACCTTTTTAAAATTCTATTGGTTTCAATTACATGCTTTGTATTGTTCTTATTTAAAGAGAAAGCATGTTTATTTTGTTTTAAGTGTTATCTGGACAAAGCTTGACCGGATAAGGGTTTAAACCGGACAAGCGTTGTACGGTTTATTGTCCGGATAGTTTTTAATCGGACAAGCCTTAAGCGGCTTAGTGACCGGATTAGTATAAACCGGACAAGCCTTGAGCGGTTTATTGTCCGGAGTTGGTTAAACCGGTTGAGTGTTAAACGGTTTAGTTTTAAATCGGACGAGTCTTGGACGAACTATGTACCAGATTAGATATCCGATCAAAATGTGAAATTTTTCTAAGTATGGTGTGTTGACCGAATTAGATATCCGGACACTAAAAATGGACTTTTGTTTCAAGTGTTTAATTCGGATGATCGTTGACCGGATTTGATTGACCGGACTTGTTATCCGAATGATTGTTGACCGGATTTGATTGGCCGGACTTGTTGATCGAATTTGAAATGATATTTTGTGATTGGATAAAAATTGTTATTTTATTATAAAATGAAGTTTTGATATAAATGATTTTGATCTGAAAACTATTCCAATGGTTGCGGTCTATTTGGAATTATTTTATAAATGTTTTGAAGAGATAAGGGTGGCATATCAATGAGAGGTGTCCATTGGATATAAGGGTGACATTTTCTGTGTGTGTGATTTTATATAACTCTTTCTATTATATCCTTTGAGACTACCGAGATCTGGAATCTTTATTTCTTTGTGATTTAAGTATTTAGGATCAAGGTTCTTATTTGGAAATCATAGATTGGATGTTATTGTGGAGAAAAGATATGTTTTGGCCTGAAACTTTGTTAAACCTCGTTATTGAGAAAAAGGTTTAAAAAGTGGCATTGTATGGAACCTGATTGGTTCAAAAGGTATAAGATTTGAATAAGCTAAGTGATAGCTTGAATTTAAGAAATGACTTGGTATTTTGGTATTATGGATTCATATATTTGTTATTTATATGAATACTTGATTTTGTAAAGGTTTTGGTGATCTTTCACCCTGCAATAACATGATTAGGGTATATCACTAGACTCTTCAGTCCAACCCTCGTTTTTGTGATTTCAAAATGTGTATTGCAGGAAGTGTGAAAGGTAAAGAAAATGAAAAGATTTAATACTTTTTCTTACGTGCATTTTGGTTGAATATTTGCTTTTGATGCATAGCTCTGATGATTAGTACAAGAATGTATTTTGAATTTTTGGACCTTGTGTTTTGGTCATAATAGACTCTTGTACTAGTAGGACCCGAATGCATATGAATATGTATTTCTTTGGTATGAAATATGT